GTGCTTTCCTTATGGCAGGCACGATGCTGAGGGACACAGGTAGGAAGAAAAAAGCCATGGTTCCTGCTCCAGGGGGCCCTGCCATCTAGTGATAACTGCTGCCTTCATATTTTGCCTCTCCTCTCCTTCCTCCTCTATTATTGTCTATGAATCCACACTCCTCCAACCTTTCCTGGTGACCTCCACTTCCTGGAAGGTGATCTTAATTCTCATAATTCTCTAAAGTATGTTTTTCTTGGCCAAACTTGGGAGATATTGTTAACCGCAGACCCTTAGATGTTTCATCACTAAGAGCAGGATCCCTGCCTGAATCACGAGGATCTTGGACTTAGAGAGGTTTATAGAGCATATAAACTTCTGACTACCTCTCCAAACAGAAACGGGCATGACTCTTGCAAAGCCACACAATAAATCTTTGGTTTATGTGGCTATTGTTTCGGCATATCTTATGTATATTTTTGGTACCGGGGCAATTTTACTTCTAAACTCCCTTCAAGGGTATATGTTTTTTGAGTTAATAAGAAGTGGGTGGTTTAGCTTCATGCTCACGTGGTGTACATTTTTAATTCCTCAGTACCTAGTTATCGAAAAGCACAATTTGTTGCTGTTGCTTTGTTTTGCAGGCTTACAATGAGAAAGCACTCCGTGGGAGAAGAGGGCTTGAGTCCTTATTATTCTTTTTTTTTTTTTTTGAAGATTTGATTTATTTATTTGAGAGGGAGAAAGAGACAGAGACTGAGAGAACGAGTTGGGGGAGGGGCAGAGGGAGAAGCAGACTCCCTGCAGAGCAGGGAGCCTGACGTGGGACTTGATCCCAGGACACTGGGATCATGACCTGAGCTGAAGGCAGACGCTTAACAGACTGAGCCACCCAGGCGCCCAAGGCGTTAAGTCTTATGCTTATTTGGACTCTTCACGATGCCAAATGCTACAGGGGTTCTATATCAGGATGCCCTTGTCCCCAAAAGTACCCTAAGCTTCCCCTATCACAGTAATACACCTGCTGGCTTTCTTGCCCCATCATCCACCAGGAGGTAAGCACTCCGAGGCCAGAGTCCCAGCTTCTCTTGGTCATTCTATTCGGCAACTAATAGAGCATGTTGTACCCGCTGTAGTGCTCCATAAATACTGGTGGAAAAAAGGAACGGATCCTTAGAGAGACAGGGGAGTGTGCAAGTCAATTGTAATATCAAATAAGTCACACTGACCTCAAAAATTGTGCATTGAAGTGACTTGCATATAACAGAAAGCCTGCATTACCAGTAGCAAGGATTCACGGGCTAATAAAAAGAGGTCAAGTGATTTGTTTATGGCTCTTATTAAAAAACTCAGTAGGATAACATGGGTTATGTCATGCTTATCAAAAGATCTAAATGGCTATGTTATGTCTTCGACTAATAAAAAATGTGAAAACGAATTAATTGTTTAAATAAATACAGTTTATTTCTCCCACTGGGGGAGAAAAAGGTAGAACCTAGTGATATAATGGAAGAGGCACTGAATTGGAGACTTGATTTCTGGTCTTGGCTGAGCTCACTCATCTGCAGGAGTGATGTGGAATACATTGCTGACCGTTTACACGCATATTCCCCTCCCACTTACCCACTTATAAAGCCCTAATTTTATACAGAGTGGCTGTGTGTTCAGCTAAAAAAATAATGTAGACTTCCTCGCCTCTCTCGCAGCTAGAGGTGATCATGTGGTGTAGTTCAGACCATGCTGCACAACATTCTACAAAAGGTGTCAGAATGAGCGGGCCTTGCTTTCTGCTTGGAATGCAGATGTGAGGCAGGTGTACAGTGGCCACATTGTGATCAGGAGGTCAGAGCAGGAGGATGAACACAACGCACTAAAACAAGGCTAAGAGAAAAAATCTCAGCCCTTGGACTATCACAGTCCTGAATCACATACTTGTTTTTATTTGAGAAAAATACGACCTGTTTAGTTGATCTTCTGTTACTTGCAATCAAACACATGCTTAGCTGATACAGGAAATGGATTAGACCAGATTTCCAGAGCACTATTCTCAAATTCTGTGGTTCTAGATGAGGCTCAGTGAGTGCTTACTTGCTAATTATTTTCAACCTCCGTCTTGCAATGTGTACCATTGTAGGCGCTTCCCCACTTCTAAATTCTTTTTTTTTTTTTAAAGGTTTTTATTTATTTATTTGACAGACACAGATCACAGGTAGGCAGAGAGGCAGGCAGAGAGAGAGGAAGGGAAGCAGGCTCCCTGCTGAGCAGAGAGCCCGATGTGGGGCTCGATCCCAGGACCCTGGGATCATGACCTGAGCTGAAGGCAGAGGCTTAACCCACTGAGCCACCCAGGTGCCCCCCACTTCTAAATTCTTAAAGCAGAGTTGCTTTCCTTAGTGTAGAGCATTAAATTAAATGAAATGCTTAAATTAAGTATCATTTATTATCTTGTTTTTGAAAATAGCAAAGATTTCAGGCAGACACCTAAGTTTCAAGAAGACGAAATTCCAAGAGACTCTAAAATACCACGATTGCTCCAAATAATTCCAATAAAAGGAATTAGACTCTTCAAATCATCCAACAACCTTGTCACTTAAAAAAGCAAAGGGAAGAACAAAGATTTTTTTCAATTATCATGAATAAAGCAAACTGTTGTGATTAAATACTTTATTATGGTTGAAATTTTAAGTGCTGATAAAAGAAAGTCTTCGAAAGCCTAATCTTTCAGCTTAGAGTACACAGTAATTTTAATAATGTATAATGACATACATGCTTTTATGGAAACATGATGTCTCCTCCACTCCCCAGGATATTCCAAAATGCTTTCACCTCTTTACCTAATTTTAACTATATAGATGGCCAAGGATTATCCCCATGATACAGATGGCCAAACTGAGGCCACAAGGTTAAGTGACTTATCAAAGCCTCAAAGAAAGCCAGTATCCAAGAGGGGATTTTTTTTTTAATTTTTTATTTTTTATAAAAATATATTTTTAACCCCAGGGGTACAGGTCTGTGAATCGCCAGGTTTACACATTTCATAGCACTCACCATAGCACATACCCTCCCCAATGACCATAACCCCACCCCCTCTCTCAACCCCCTTCCCTCCAGCAACCCTCAGTTTGTTTTGTGAGATTAAGAGTCACTTATGGTTTGTCTCCCTCCCAATCCCATCTTGTTTCATTTATTCTTTTCCTACCCCCTTAGCCCCCCATGTTGCATCTCCACTTCCAAGAGGGGATTTGTTTTAAGAAACCAACTACCTTCACAATGTACATAGAGAAGTGATTAGAATAGCAGAAACTAAGAAAAAGCGTAACTTTTATATGAAAGTTTTACTTATATAATCTTAACAAAAGCTTTCTTTGGCTGGAAGGCCATTGTTCTTCCCCATCTTGGAGATTCTTTATAAAGAAGTCCTGCCTGAACTATTATACATTTATCACTCTTTAGTTCTTCTGAAGCAATACAATCTTGTCAGTGTCAGGGAAGGGATGAATGCTTTCTGAGTACATTGATGTGCAATGTGGATACATTTTATTTATTCAACCAATATTTGAGCATAAAATTCATTGCCGAGACACAATGAAGATAACAAAAAGTGTAAGTTATAGATCCTCCCTTTCAAAGGTTCCATTCTAGGACAGCAACAAGACACATATATTAACTTGCAAAGCAAGACACTGGGTCTTGTGTGAAAGACTTTGGGACTTCGAGGAGTGTGAGGTGATGGCAGCCTGCATGGAGCTAAGGGGTCTTTGTGTAGAAAATCATACTTGAGCTGGTCTTGGGATGGACAAGATGTAGGGACAGCAGGATATTTTCAAATCCTGGGTGAAAATGGATGATTCACTTGTTTGCATGATTTGAGTACATATTCTATTTCCAGGCACTGTGCAAACAACTGCAAATACATGATTTCATTTGCTCGTTAGATAATATGAATCTCTTGAGGTAGAGATTATGATCTCCAATTTATAGATGAGGAACTTATGATTTAGAGAAGTAAAGCGATGTATATGGTTCACACAGCCGGTAACAGTGGTGGAGACAGAGTTCCAACACTGGTCCGTTTGACCACTGACCTTCTATCCTTACCCATGGTGCAATTCTGCCTCCCTACAAGGCCCTTTTTTTTTTTTTGCATTTGCTTCGCAATTTCAAAGAGAGGTTTCCTTTGTAACAAGTGTCCACCAAATGTCCAAATATGCCTTATGTTTATAGTAAAATATAGGGCCATTGTTGTTGTTGTTTTTTTTGTTTGTTTTTTTTTTTGTTTTTTTTTTTTTTAGCGAGGTGACCTTGTTTTGCTGTAGGTCTGTTAAAATATCACCTCAGGCCTGGGTTTTGAGATCTATTACACAGTTACTGCTTAAAAACTGGTGTTTGTCTGGTCAAGGTATTCCCAAGAGAAATTTTAAGTTTTTAAAGGAGGCAGCAGAAGTCTTGTAATCTGGATACTATGCAGAGGTGAACATATGTGATTCTGAGCAATGGTGTAGTAAACAGCTTCCCCTGTCCCTGTGCCCCAGGACCCTGATAAAGGACACAACTTTCTCTTCTTCCAGGCCCTTTGAAGTTCGACTGTCTATATGGATTCTCTAATGATTTGCTGATTTGGGTTATGGCAACTCTTTACAGTAAAAGGAGCATCGAGGTTGAAGTCTCCTTTATGAACATATCACATTTACTCCACACTGGCTCATTCAGTCAGACTCTCTCTCCTTCAGTTTGAATCATCTTCCTAAAACATCAGCTTAATCCCGTGATCTCATTCTAAGCATTAGCTTTCCATCTGGTTCAGAGAAGAATAAAGAGCAATATGGCGTCTGCAGCAAATATTTCTTAGAGAGGCTCAGTACCAACCTTAAAAAGTATCTTAGCTCCAAAATGTCTCGTGTTAGCCCATCTCCACTCTGTGATTCTTGCCACAAAGACACCAATGAAGAGTTTCATCTAAATTACTCCAATTCCCTTTACTGGACCACTAAGTGGGGGCAGGGTGCAGTAAGAATGGGTACCTGAGTAGATTTTCCAGAAAGGAGAACCGAGGATGCTGGGAACCATCTTGAATTCTGGTGAAAACAAAGAATCTTTGGTATTCCATAATTCTTAAACTAGGCACCTTTCTCTTTTCCTCACAAACATTTTTTTTTATGGTATGAATAGGAGATCAAAGCTCATTGTTCTGAAGGCTAAGGAGGTCCACTCTGGTTCAACCCAGCGCGGGTCATTTTGGCAAACGTGTTTAAGTATCCAGCATGAGGAAGCTCCCAATCTTGGCCCTCACAGGTAAATGCTAGAATTGCTATAATAATGTGTAGAACTGTGGTTTTAAGGCAAGACACCTAGAGGGCACTCAATATTTATTGAATTAAATGATAATATATGTACATTGCTTTATGCTCCTCAAAGAGTCTCTACAAATATTGTTTTATCGTGTCTCTATGTAAGAATAGGAGGTTGGGAGGAAAAGTTCATTCAGCACAGTTCTGTCCCATTTTATTGGTGAGGATATTAAAAAAATCCACAAGATAAATGGAAAGGCAAAGAGGCAGCTCACCCAGCTATCCTGATTGCTAACATCCTGTCCTTTCCAATCCTTATCACCTCGCTACCCTGTGAACCCTTCTTCTGCTTGGAATGCCCTCTATTCATGTAAGTGACTTCTTAAGATTTCATGTCAATGCTGTCTAAACTTTGAAGTCTATTTGATAAAAAGTAGTAATAGCACATTCCACATCATCTTCTGAATGCTTATTTTCTTGCATCTCTCGTCTGCCCTAGACTGTATGCTTGATGAGGACAGGAACCACTGAATTCCCAGTGACAGGCACTCAGGAAATTGTCATTTAATGAACAAATGAAACTTATGGTTTCCTCCTCTGAGTCCCCATAGAAATTTCTATTTTTAACGCTCATTTAGCATTTAAAATGTTAACCTGACCACAGAAAGATGAGAAACATTACCTGCCTTATCTCCCTGATACCGAAAATCTTCTGACTAAAAGGACTTCATGTCTTTTATTTTCCACTACAGTTTAAGATGCTTAATGAATGCTGACCCTGAGGATAATATCATAATACTACCCCACTGAAAGAGACTCATTCATAATCCAATTCGGATGCAAGGTTTCAAGTTAGAAAAAAATATATAAAAAATATATAAGTTGCCTTTCTGATTATCTCACACACACACACACACACACACACACACACACACACGTACACACCACAGAAGTGAAATAATAAGGGACCTTGAGAAAATTCTGTCAGTGATCACAAGATGTTTAAAGATGGAGGAAGTAAGTCTTCATAATTGTGGATATAGTAATCGCTTCAAAAAATAGTCCAAATACTTATTTTCATCAGTGTGATTTCTGCGTGTGTGCATTGGGCGCCCCTTCAACGGCCATTTTTCCCTGAGATGCTCACAAGTATTCACAAAGGGATTCAGATTTGTGGGTCTCACATTCAGATGAATGCAAGAAATATCAGTTTCCCCAGGCGTATGTAATAGTAGACAAGAGACCATAACTTTCTAGGATGTTTTATAATACCAGCTGGTAGATCACAGACCTACCTAAGTGACAATCTGATGGAAGAAAGTAAACATGGTTACAATTATTCATACTCCTACTGTGGGAGTTTCATAAACAAACTAATAAATATTTTCATCTTGCAATAAGATCAAGTTAAGTGATTTGCTGACATTTTCTTGAGGTTAAAAGCTTGTCTTTAATGTGAAATACAAATCGTATTTCTTGTGGACACATTTTAATAATAAACTTAAAAGCATACGAGACAAAAATAATGAAAACATTGCAACGAAAACCAGACAAACTATCTACCACTTCAAAAGGAGTGAGTGAAAACTACTCGTCAACACCGTGATGCAAACAGCCTCAGTGCGAAACGCCACATATTGAAATCAGGTTTCAAGGAAAGGGAATCAGCAGGGATGAGAGAATGAATAACAGCTCTTACTTGAAAACAGGTAACTAGCTACAGGAAAATATACTCACCTAACACACACACACACACACACACACACACACACACTCTCTCTCTCTCTCTCTCTCTCTCTCTCTCTCTCTCTCTCCTTTAACCTGTAAGGCAGACTTGATTTGGGTTCAGTTCAAATTACCTCCCACTTCTTTGCAACATCCCACAGGGAATGAGGGGTTTGGTCCCTCTTCTGGCCTGAGGTAGGGATCCAGGGTTTGATGCCAAAGCTGTCCCCAGGGAGGAGAAACTGGAGCACTTACTGCCTTTAGGAGCATTCTGGGAGAGGCCTCCTTGTCTCTCCTTCTGCTACGCTGCTCCCAAGGCCATGATCTAAGCCCAAGCCAGGGTGCTGGGGAGCGGCTCACCTCTGGGTCCTGTGATGACAGGTCGGTGGTGCTGTGTGAATGCGGTTCCCAGGGAGGAGGTCTGCGAAGGGGAGGGGCTGCTGAAACCAGACTTCTCCGACTTCTTCAGTGTGGTTGGAGATGGCATTCCTGGCAAGAAGGATGGAGTGATAAGCACATTTTAATTCAGGGCACGGCAGCTTGTACTAAAAGATAAAACTGAAAGAATTAAAAAAAGAAATCCACCTGGGAGCGCAGAATTTGTTTTGAATCACTTTGAATTTGTCACAGGAACTAACAGGGGACAAAATGGCTCCTTGGTAAGTCCACCTAGAATTGACTTCAACTTACTCTACTCAGTCACAGTTCCTTTTGGCATGATTGAGCTTGTCTAATTATGGAGGGCCCCTGCCCAGAGTTTCCTGCAAGTTGTGTGTGCCTGTGGCCCATGGGAGCCTTCAGAAAGGAAGCTCTCGAAGGCACATGAAGACCCCCATCTGCAACCATTTCATCTTGCCAGGTACCTTGCTGAAGCACGAAAGCACCTTCTCCACATTTTAAATAATTTAGCTATTTTCACATTAAAAAAAAAAAAACCCACAACAATGACAATTCAGTTGCTCATCCAATGAATTATTTATAATAGAAAAAAGAAATAAAAGATCAAAGTAAAAAAAAAAATCCTTAAATGCTCAACAATTGAAACTGGTTAAATAAATATGATCGAACCCATCCAAATCATACCGTCAGAGAATAAGGACATTCCACTTAATGACATGGAATAAAGACATGGAAAGTGATTATAAAATAGGACGTTGTGCTGGGAGGCCACTTAAAAATATAGGTCTCTGTGCAGAGAAAGAACTGGAAGGAAACGCACATAAACTCTAACGGGGGTTCTCTCTGTGTGATGGATTTGGGTGGTTTTCATTGCCTCTTTTTGCTTGCTTGTTTTCTCCTGTGATGAACATATACTACTTTTATGTTAAGAAAATACAATAAAAACTTGTTTTTATTTATTTATTTTTTTATTTATTTTTTTTTTAAAGAATTTATTTATTTATTTGACAGAGAGAGATCACAAGTAGGCAGAGAGGCAGGCAGAGAGAGAGAGAGGGAGAAGCAGGTTCCCTGCTGAGCAGAGAGCCTGATGCGGGACTCGATCCCAGGACCCTGAGATCATGACCTGAGCCGAAGGCAGAGGCTTAACCCACTGAGCCACCCAGGCGCCCAAAACTTGTTTTTAAAAATAGTATTTTTATCATAGTTTCTGAGGTTTTTATAACATTTCCAGCATAGAAAATGCTTTGGGAGGAAAATAATGGGAAAATGGTCTCTTGTAATTACTGAGTTTGTAATGTTCTCGGCAGCCAAGCTGACACACACAACTGGAGGCATCGATCAGTTTGGTAGGGTGCCAATTAAAACAATGAAAACTTGGATATAGAAATAAAGGAAATGACTCCTTGTTCTCCACATCACAGGATAAATTTGGGCTCTCTTAAATTTGCAGCACAAAACTGGTCTGTATGCACGTCAAAAGAATCAGCTCTCTTTTATTCACATAGGTCTACATATGTTGTATTCTATGACCAGAGAATTATTGGGGTGAGCTGGAAAACTAAGTAATAAAAATAATAATGATATTAGCAGGTACCCGTTATTGAGTAGTTACTAACTCACATGCACTGTGCCAAGCACTTTATAGGTAAAGATCTGTCCCAAAACTTAGTGTGGCTTGTATCTAAATACGTCCTTGTTATTTATGTCCACAGATTTCCTTTATAGGTTCTACAACACAAGCTTTGAGTGTGACTTCAGGTTCTATACAGATAGAGTGTGTTTTGTGTTTCTATTTTCAGAATATCCAACAAAGGGTCTAGAATGCAGTCAGTGGCCTGAAAAGATATTTAAACTAGGTGTCACAGTCTCAACTTTATCTGTGGCTTTACTAACCGACATAGTAAAACTTGAGAGTTTGACCCCACGAAAGAAACAAATTGCAAGTTGGTAGGCATATCTGCATGGTACCATGTAAAGACATTAGGAAGTGGTGTGTGATTTCACACCAACTGGACAGATCTAGATTCCAGTCATTCCAGATCAATATCTACATGATTTGAATGAAAAAGCACATCACTCAGCAACTTAGCTATGTTTCCTTGCTCTTTGAATCAGTAACCAAAGTCCACCATACCAATATCCTAACACCATTAGGATAGATTGGGGTTTTGGACCAACATTCGTTGCAAGTAACTTAGCCTAAGATATAATCACAGAACTACATTAGAGAGAGGATTTCCAATTTAAAAATTAAAGGGAAGAAATAAACGTTAACCAAAATGTAAACAAACCTCTCAATTCATTTAAACCTCTCCTGCGCAAAACACATTTTTAGGCTGCCAACCAGTCCACTGATTTAAGCTCAGTCAAATGCCTGAATTATGTGTCATGAAACAGAAATAGAACAGAAGATGAAAATGTCAAAACTTTTAAGATGGCAGAATCTTTTTCAGACAATGGAATCACTGAGGAAACGCAGCATCTGAACTAAACTTATTAAAGAGAGCAAATGGTTGCCTTCACAGAAAAGGAAGCATTTCTTTGAAAAGTTCATGAGTTCCAACCCATGCTGTTCTAAATACGGCAGAGACAGTGACATGACTTAAATCCACCATTTACATTTACCCTTTTAAGAGGGGGAATGGAGAGGTAAGATTCAGGTAATCATGAACATGAAGAATGATGAAGCTGGTAAACAGATTCAAAAATAGCAAAATTCAAATCCTCCTTGAAGGGGTTAAAGAGAAAAGAAATACTGTCTGCCTTCAAGAACAACAAGCCAAACTATGTATAATCTTCTAAATTTATCACAGTCAAGTAAGATGAACCCTAAGGCTGTCATGAATCTCAAAATTACTTTGTGTTTTCAATTTTTAAAGACTTATATTGAGCACATTTCCTTATTATATACTTTAATGTTTTCTCCATATGCATAATGTATGTTTTGGTTAATTTGCTTCATATACTTAATTGACAGGATAAAATTTCAAAATGGTAGTAAACTACTTTATGTTAAAAGTGAGAGAACATTAATCTTGGCTTTTATTTTTGAAATCAAATTTGGATTCTGCCCGTTAGATTAAAAGTAAGCTTCTTGTTACAATTTCTCTTACCAATTATCCATGCACAACTGTTATGCCATGGTTGTACAGATTAATGAATGATTGGCTTTTTCTTAATAAAGCAAAACTTTGATTTCAATGTATTTTTCAGAAGCATCAGATTTTTTTAAAAAAGATTATAAAGTAATGCTGCCCTTTTTTCCAGAACAAACAATTATTACTCCAAAGTTCTTTTCACTATGTAAAAATAAAGAATTTTATAGAACAAGCAGCAGAAATTTAGCAGGATGCTGTGTTTCAATGGGACATTTTCTCCTATTGATTGCTCTAAAAAAAACCCAATGGTGGTAAAGAAAATAGAAGATGGATTTCTTTTTTTTTTCTTTTTCAACCTTTTTTCAGAGAGAATGAGAGAGAACGAGCATGTATGAGTAGCGGGGGGCGCAGAGAGAGAGGGAGAGAGAGAATATTAAGCAATTCCTCAAATGCAGGACTTGATCTCACAACCCTGAGACCTTGACTTGAGCTGAAATAAAGAGTTCAATGTTTAACCCACTAAACCAACCCAGGTGCCCTAGAAGACAGATTTCAAAAAGCATTTTGGCTTGTCATTGGTTTTCTAACCATCAGACTTTCTGAATTTCTCTCCACTTTGCCATTTTCCTAAGCTACCTGAGTTGTTTGAAATAGTGTCCAGGGGACACAGGCAAACGTGAAATTCTAGTCATTCAATGACTCTGTTCCTTGAAGGCAGTTATAAGTGAGAGGCCCAATAGGAAAACCTTGAAAGCAAAGGCCAGAAACAGTACTCACAAATATTCCATTATAGTCATCACTAATATTTGTGGTAGTCAGAATTCTAAGATGGCCCCAAGGCTCCTGTCCTTGGGGTACCTACTCTACATAATCTCCAGTTGAATGTGGGCAGTATCTGTGAATATGATAGATGTTCTTCTCGTAATTAGGTTGTTGTATTGCAAAGGTGAAGGGACTTTTGTAGATGTAATTTAGGTCCTTAATCAGATGACTCTGAATTAATTAAAAGGTTATTATCCTCGGTGGGTCTGACCTAATCAGGTAAACCTTTTAAAAGAGAGACTAGAAGTCAGAGAGATTCTCCTGCTGCCTTTGAAGAAGTAAGCTGCCATGATGTAAAGGGGTCTCTGAGAGGGCCATATGGCAAGGAAATGCAGGGACCTGTAGGAGCTAAGCAGGGCCCCTTGCTGACAGCTAGCCTTAAGAAAGCCAGAACCTCAGTCTTAAAGCTATAAGGAACTCAATTCTGCCAATAATCATGAGAGTTTGCAAGAAGACTCAGAGCTGTAGTCCAGGACTACAAAATGCAGCCTGTACGAAATGCTGATTATAGCCTCCTGAGACCCTGAGATGAGGGACTACCTAAGTTGTGCCCAGACTCTTGACCCATGGAAACTGGTGATAAGGTAATAAGGTAATAAATGTGTTTCGTTTTAGGCTATGTTTGTGGTAATTCGTTATACAGCGATAGCAAACTAAGGTGTTACTCAAATATGAGACTACTGTCCATTCTAGAAATGTATGTATTAAAGATGTTTACTGGGAACTAATTATTCTCTAGAATTCCAGAAGCTTCTATCATTTTTAGCAAATACATGCTAGATAGCGAAGTTTGCCTCTAGCCTACACTCACTCAGAGAAAACAGTAAGACATCTTTTTGGAAAAGAGGCGAATAAGTGGTTACTTCTAATGGCATAAATTTTATTTCCAAATAAATTTGGAAACTTTCTCTTTCCCCCCGATTCTTTTAAGAAATACCAATAACAAAATCAGATCAAATGACATGAAAAACCTCAAAAATAATTCTTGGGGTCTCCTATAATAAATCAAGGTGTGTTTGGTAAGGTTTATCTACAACCTGATATTACAGAAAGTAAAAAAGAAGATACAGGGGAAAAACACATAATTAATTTCAACTCCATCTGTCTCCTAAATTTTGAGACTTACCAACAACTTTGACTTGACTAAGAACTTTATAGGGACAGTTA